CAAGATGGCTGCCACAGCCCCAGTCCTCAAGGGCAGCGTTCCAACGAGAGACTTTCTACTGCTCCCTCTTTTATCAGAGATTAAGATCCCAGAACACCTGTACATTTTCCCTTGGGTATCTATCACTCATGAGAACAGGGTCTCAGCTCCTAGCCTACCAAGGGCAAAGGGAACAAGATGCTGGTGGAGTGGGACAACACTGGTTCCCTTTGGGGCGGGTGGGATGAGCATGAACCCGAGAAACAGGGCTTCCTCTAGTGATGAGCGTCCCACCCCGGAGCAATCGGAGAGGGGCTGCCATCCCTGCTTCACAGCCCGGAGACCGCGGCCACTTGCCTRAGAGGACACAGCCAGCGACGGAGAAAGATGCGGAGCCCAAAGGCCAGTCAGGCAGCTGCCCTCCAGAGAGGTCACCACTGAGTGGACGGCCCCTCCAGAGAGGGCGAGGTGGCCAGAGGGAGCCAGCGGGAGTGCCCCGGAGCCCACAGTGAGCGCTCTTTGACGGGGCGGAGGTGGGGGCCCAGGGAGAGGTGAAGGACACCCAGGTTGGGCCRGGCCAGCTCCACCTGGCCTTCCCTGCGGAGGCTCCTTGGTGAACCCAGTGAAGCTGCCCTGAGCAGCAGGCGGCAGCACGGTTACAGGTGGAGCGAGGCCAGCGCAGCGCCCCCCACTGGGGGCTCGGGGGGCCCAGGAGCGGGCATCTCCTGGCACCGGGCGAGGCACCTCTCGGTGGGTGACAGATCAGATCAGGTGGCGGGAGCCAGATCCGCTCCCCACGGTGGGCACCGGGTTCGGTGCTTGGCAGCTTTGAGGGCCTGGAGACCCTGATGGCTGGAGCCCCTCCCTGCTCCCACAGTCGTGAGCTTGGGTGCAGGCGCTTGGCCCCATCTCCGCTCCGTGGTCTCCCTCGAGAGAGAAGGCAGCTCCGCTGGCCAGGACGGTGAAGCGCTGCAGATGTGCTCTTCCACCCCGCCCAGGGGTGCCCACGTCCTGGGACTGACCCCAACAGAGCCAGGCCCTGACAGATGCCCATGACCCCTGTTCCCACTATTTGACTTACCATGACAACAGAACAGCCACCGAGACCAGGACACTCGGGCCCACGATGTCCCCGGCCCAGCAGCCACCAGGACCTCTGATCCAGGGCTGCCACGTGGGAAGAGTCGAGGACAGCTCCATGGAGACTTGTGCCCGTGACAAAGCGGGGTGAGACCACTCCCTGGTCACTGCAGAGGGCTAGCCCGGCAGTGAGGGACCCCAGGTTCGCTCAGAGCCCCAGTCCCACTCTGCCACACAGTGGCTGAGCCATCTGTCCCCTGAGAGATCCTGTTTGCATCCCTGGGCTTTGGGCTCCTCCTCTTAGGGGCCACATTGTCCAGTGCCCACCCCACTGGGCTTTCCCAGTCCAGAGCAGCGTCACTGCAGACTCCTGTGAGGGAGTTTCTCGGTTCTGGTTSGTCGGTTCTGCATGGTCGGGCCCCTCCCCAACCTCAGCACGGTCCTCCTTCTTGGGCTGCTTATGTCTCAAGAAGGGAGGAGCCTCCTGTGTCCTGCAATGCTCTCGGTTGATAACTGCATTCAACCCTTTTCTGTTGCTATAACAACATGCCCGAGGGTGGATATTTTGTAAAGAAGAGAGGTTGATTTAGCTCACAGTTTCCSAGTAAAGATCTGTAAAGGTTTCATAGTGGGTGGCATTATAGTGATGGGAATGTGTGAAGACACCGCCGGCCAGCCTGGAAGCCAGAGAGTGGGGAAGGGCTTACTCTTTTTTTTCCCCCTGGTACTGGGGGTCAAACCCAGGGCCTCAGGCATGTTAGGCTACGGAGCTCCGTCCCCAACCCTTTCTAAAATTGTATTTTGAGACAGGGTCTTGCTAAGTTGCCCAGACTGCCCTCCCACTTGCCATCCTCCTATTTTGGCCTCTAGAGGAGCGGGGATCGCAGGTGTGTGCCACAGTGCCTGGCTGCTCTTGCTCTTTTTTGTAACAACTCACTGTCTTGGGAACCAACCAGCATCTCAAGAGAACGATGTCACCCCTCCAGCCCCCTCCCCACCTCATCTCCTCCCACTAGCCCCTTTGAAAGATTCCGCCATCTCTGAAGACCACCAGGCAGGGGACTAAGCTTCCAGCACATGACCCTTTGAGGGTCAGACCAAACCAAACCCGCCGTAGCTACACCACCCAGAGGCCTTCCAGAGAGCAGCTGGCGGCCTCTGCGGCAGCCCCTCTGGGAGATGGGACTCGGGTATGTAGTAGATCTGCTTCCTCCGGCCCTGCTGTACAGCGTCTTGAACAGAAGAACTGGACAGAAAGCTTCTCCATCTTCATTGTTTTCTGATAGAGCCTTCTGAGGCTACCACCCAACTCCGAAATGTGCTTCAGACAAAAGCTTTGGGRAAGTGGTTTATTGGGTGGTGTGGAGCAAAGCCATTTCAGCTTCCTGAAGGCAATTCCTCCCCATCTGTCTCGCCTTGGCTTTATCAGAGTAATGTGCTTGGGAGGTTTTCCTAAGGATAAAAATAATGCACATTCACAATGAGGTATCTGGAAGACAGATCAGCATGGAGGAAAGGAAAACTCTAACCACAATTGTGTGCGCTCTCGTGTGTGAGTGTGGAGAGAGGAAGAACTGGAGAATGAATTGAATACAGAACACTATTTTCATCTATAGATATGGTTTTCTTGACAAATTTGATATGAAATTTAACTTCACTTTTCAAAAGTATATCATACAAAACTTATTTTGTTAAAAAGTTCTATTTAATTAACAAGTCTAGAGCTTCCAAATACAAGATGATAAATTTTAAGCAATACATTCTTTACCTCAACAGGCTGTTTTTTTAATTTTTCCTGTTTAGTTGTAGATGGACACAATACCTTTTCTTTTATGTATTTTTATGTGGTGCTGAGGATCAAATGCAGTGCCTCACAGCTCCTAGGCCAGCGCTCTGCCTGAGTCTGCAGAGGCTGTTTTCYGAATTAGGTACACACTGTGGATACTTGTTTTGATCTTGATTTTTTGCAGGATTTCTCTCCRTTTATAAAAACTAGGGCATGCTTTACATATCAGCGTAGTTGGGTGAGTTTTGCCAACAGTACACAATCGAGTCACTCCCACCACGATCAGGATGCAGAATTATGCCTGTCATTAGGCAGTTATCTAAACTATGACCGTGACAGCCAAATTTTCTGTGGCTTGCAAGTGCATGATTTAAACCATCTCTTTTTGTGRGACATTTAGGTTGCTTACAGCTTTCCTCTTACTGATTTGCAATCTGGGGGAACAAAAGTTCATGGGAATGAATGATAGGGCTTCTCCCTTCTCTGTTGGAAAAACTTGAGTGTTCTTCTCTGCGAAGCCCCCATCATGCGGTGAATGAACAGTTYACTCTGTTCAACTACATTTTGGCATTGTGCCACCTTCTTAGGAGATAGAGCCTGATAGAACCTTCTGGGCTCTACGAGGACATGGGCAAGATGATTAAGCAGGTACCTGTGAGAACACCTGGGATTCTTCTTCCCAGGCCCTGGACCAGGGGAACTGGGGACTTGTACAGACTTGATTGGAGGYACAAGGGGTGCCTGCAGAACACCTCACAGAACATTTGTACAACTTAAAAATAGCAAAAAGCTGAGGGCCGGAAGTGCATTTATGAATGCACATTCATGCAGTCAGTCAACATATAATGAATAAAATATTCCATAAATATTGAACAACAAAATGGATGGAAGGAAGTGCACGCGAGCCTGGTGTGTAGGAAAGTCAAGCACACTCGGTGCCTGTTCTTGGCCAACTCGCAGTGTGGGAATCACGAATCCACCTGGGAAGGGATCACCTCCGGCCCTCTCACCCCACGCTGCCTTCCTCAGTTCAGGGGCTCTGGCTGCTCACCACCAACTGCACACAGTGACCCCTGGTGAACAGCAAAGGTGCCTTGACAGTTGGGTTTGCAAAGAGTGTGTGCTCTTCAGTTTATTAAAGGTACATGTATTCATCTCCGTGCCTGCAAGATTTAGCCCAGGTCTTGGCACACAGTAGGCGTTTAGAAATGTTTGCAGGGAGGATAAAGACGACCCGGACGCGCAGAGGCCTCCAGCCAGGCTGTCAGCTCCTCGGGTTTCACTTCCACCTCTCAACACTGCGTCGCAGGCCTGGGTCACTTTCCCATCCTACAGCGGAGGCCCTGAGTCCCAGGCGAGCTTCCCGAGTCGCCCAGCTTCCTGAAGCAGGGGAAAAGGAGCGGCGGGCAGGGGAGGCCGCTGGGCCTGGGCCCCGCAGCCGGCCTCTCCACACCCCGCCAGGAGCCTCCAAATCGCGCGCCGCTCATCTCTGCCTCCCGAGGTACAGCAGGCGGCGCCCAGTGAGTGGGTCCTGCGTGGACACCGCGTCCTTCCGAGCCTGAAGGAGCAGTTCGCAGGAGGCTTGGCTCGGAGGGATGGCTCCGCGCGCTCCCGACTCTGCGCAGCGGACCGCAGCCCCGACCGGCTCTCGGTACCGCTCGGGAGAGCGGGGTGGACGCACGTTTGCGAAGTCTGTGTCAGCGCCTGACGCCCGCAGACGCTGGCTAAGTGCCTCGTGACCCTGCGGCCGCCGGGGCAGACCCGGGACAGCGCCGAGCGCCCGGGCTCCGCGGTGCGAGGATCCCAGCGACCACCTGAGTTCGCACCTGCGGCCCCGCCAGCCACCGCCGGGGCGCGGTCTTAGGGCGGGGCTCCGGGCCAGCCCCGCCAATCAGCGCACGCGAGGCGCAGCCCGCCCTCTCCCGCGGAGGCAGCGCGTGCGCACTCGGGCCGCGGTACTCCGAGCCCCCCCGGGGCGGCGCTGACGCTCGCGCCGACGCGCCCGACGTCGGGCACGTCGACGCCGGCGACGCGCCGCCGGGCCCGCTCCTCTGCGCTCGCCAGTGTCCGGCCGCGGGCCGGCCTTCGTGAGTGGGGCGGCGGGCCCGGGCCGCGCGTGGGGGCGCGGACGCCGGCCGCGGGCCGCCTTCGTCGGCCCCCGAGCTCGTCCGGAGCGCGCCGCCGCCCGCGCCCGCCGCGGAGCCTCCCGGCCGCGCCCGCCGGCGAGCAAGGTGAGGAGCGRGAGACCGAGGCGGCGGGCGGGCGGGCGCCGGTGTCAGCGCGGACGGCGGGACGCGAGGCCGCGCACCTGTGGCCGCTCGCGCGCACCTTCGGCCGGCGGGGACGCGGAGGCCCCGCCAGGTGCGCGTCCCGGAGGCCGGGCGCCCTCGCAGCTCGCCTTCCCCGGGGCGCCCTCCGCGCCGGCCCGGCCCGCGGACCCACGGCTCCCGGAGCGGACTCGGTCCTTTCCGTGGCCGGGAGCTTACGTAAGTCGGGCCGCCGCGGCCGTCGGAGAACACCTCTCCCGGCCCTCGGCCAGTCCCGGCCCGTTGGAGCCACCGAAGTCCGCCCGAGAGTCCCGGGAGCGCCGGTGCCGGGCCGTGCTCCGCCTGGGAACTGCCTGGGCGGCGGGTTCGCTCCCCGGGACGCCGAGAGCAGGAGGGCGGAGGCGCGCTGTCTCCGGGCACCTGGGGCGACGGGCAGTGCCCAGAACCCCGGGGCGGCCCGCTGGACCTCCTGCCTGGTCGGCGCGGGGCTGGGTGCTGCCGCGGGAGCCGCTGCTCACTCAGGTGCGCGCCGCTTGGCCGCGCTGGGAACGCGGCTGCCACTCGGGACGCGCGGCCGGGATCCTGCAGGTGCACCTTGTGGGGACCTTGTTCTGCACCTCGTGACTCTGCTCGGGTCTGTGGTCCCCAGATGATGTGCGAGGTGATGCCGACCATCAGTGAAGCAGAAGGTCCCCCCGGAGGAGGCGGGAGCCACGGGTCCGGCTCCCCCTCGCAGCCAGACGCGGATTCCCACTTTGAGCAACTCATGGTCTCCATGCTGGAAGAGAGGGACCGGCTCCTGGACACGCTGAGGGAGACTCAGGAAACCCTGGCGCTGACCCAGGGGAAGCTGCACGAGGTTGGCCACGAGCGAGACTCCTTGCAGAGACAGCTCAGTACCGCACTGCCCCAGGTAGGCCCCAGCGCCCGGCTCCCTTGGTGGTGTCTTCTTGGTGAAGGCGGTAGCTGAGTATTCCTGCGACCTGTGGAGTGGTGTTCCTGGCGTTCCTAAGCACACACAAAGTCCCCAGGGATTAGACTGCTTAGGGAGAGCAAACTGGTGTTCTCCGAAGTCATGTGCAAATACCTCATTGCTCTCATTCCTGTCTTGGGGAGCCGCCTAGATTTGGAAAAATGCTTGGAAGTTTTTATAAAAAAGGCATGAAGCAACCAAGCTCTGGGTGTCTTCCGTCTGTCAGGGCCTTTTCTCCCTGAATGTGGCTCTCTGTGGCTTCTACCTGAGGGACTGTGTGCGCATTTCCATGGGTTTTTTCCAGTTTCTAATGAAGTTGGATGGACAGCCGAGTTCACAGAGATGTTTTCACAGTCCACCTTTGTCAGACATTTGTGCTTTGTTTATTGGCACTGGGGATTGAACCCAGAATCCAGGGGTGCTTTGCTACTGGACTGTGTCCCTGGCCCTTTTCATTTTTTGTTTTGAGACAGGGCTCTATAATTTCCTGAGCCTGGCTTTGCAGGGGCATTCCTCTGTCCTCAGCCCCCGAGTCGCTGGGATCACAGGACTTTGCATTGCCTGGCTTACCTTTGTTTTTGTAGAAGACCAGAGGTTGATTTCTTAGGATTTCTTTTTTTTCCTTTGCAGGTGAGAATTTTAAAGCTTGCCACAACTGAGGTTGTTGCTTTAAGAATGTTACRTTCAGGCTGGTGTTTCAAAGCCTTCTCTTACAGAGTTAAATGAGAATTTAATGATAGGAGAAGGGAGAGAGTGTTGAGGAGAGATATAAGGTGTGTGGCACGTGGCACCATGGGAGTTAAGTAGGCTGCTTGGGTGTTTGTGAGCTGCCTGGGTGCCATTTTACTCATTCATAATAGGTGCCTTTATGGTGTATATGGTAGACCCGAGCCGGCATAGGCTGGTGCTCCCGCTGCAAATGAATGATTACTAGCCTTAATGTGTTTCTTGGCTGTAGTCAAGTCTCCTGAAAGATTCATAAGCCAATGAACTTCCTTTTTAGAAATGACAATTTGATGTGAGTGCTATATGTTCCCTTTTTGTGGGGTTAGAGAATCATTAAGATTTTTCTGACTAAAATCTTATAAATTAAAAATTTATTTAGGTCAGATTTGAAAGTGTAGTTTTTGGTGGGGAGTACTGGAGCTCACACCACGTGAGTACCCTACCACTAGGCTACATCCCCAGGGCCTTTTTATTCTTAGAGGGGGCTCACACTTGGGATCCCATGCCTCAGTCTCCTCGACAGCTGGATCACAGGTGTGGGCACCACCTGCAGCTTTGTGTTTGTTTTAATGTCATCTGAGGTGCACACACTGAAGCATTTGTCTAATACTTGTGTAATTGGTAGGGTACTTTTGGGGAAAAATAGGTGCCTAGGACGTGGCAGGGAAGTGACAGGAGTTTTATAGTCTCAGGCTGTGGGCATTTCTACACCTGCTGGCGAGATGGTTGCTCACTGTAGCAACCTGGAAATGCCAAGCTGGGTAGATAATGTGATGATGCCAACAGTTGATGTCACCACCTGATTCCAGCATTTCAGAAGCACAGGAACCATGAAGTAAATTTCCTGAAATTGGGCTCATCTTTGGATGGCTAATAGAGTGACCACCTAGGTCTATGCATCAAGTGACTGCATGTGTCTCTCCGCATGTCAGATGGGGAAGTCAGAGTGTACTGTAAAACATCACCTGAGCTATAATCCCAGAAATGTGGGAGCTGAGGCAGGAGGTTTGCCAAGTTCAAAGCCATCCTAGGCAATGTAGCCAGACCTTGTCTCAAAGTGGGGGAAAAAAAAAAAAAACAGCTGGGGATGTAGTTCAGTGGTTAAGCTCCCCTGGGTTCAAACCCTGGCACCAAAAACCAAAAACCAACCAAACAAAAAACCTGGGCATTCATCAGAAGCATTCACAGATGTGAGTGTACATCTCAGTGAACTTTCCACAAAGTTAACTCTGTGGATCAGTAGGCAGATTAAGAGGTGGGATGTCACCAGGCTTCCTGCAAGTCTCTCCCGTTATTCCAGTGACCCTCCCCCAATTCTAAAAAGGATCTTGACTTTTTTTGTTTGGTACTGAGGATTGAACCCAGGGATGCTTTACCACTGAGCCACATCCCCAACCCTTTTTATTTTTTATTTTGAGACAGGGTCTTGCTAAGTTGCTGAGGGCCTTGCTAAATTGCTGAGATTGGTCTCAAACTTGGGATCCTCCTGCCTCACCCTCCCAAGCTGCTGAGATTACAGGCCTTCACCACCCCACCTGGCAGAATGATTTTGACTTTTTATTGTTGATTACTTTTACCTGCTCTTGGTTTTTCTATAAGTAAGATGACATGTATATTTTCATTTATTGATTTGTTCACTCAACATTATGAAATGCACTTGGTCATTTCCCGTAGCATGCTTGTTGTCAAGAGTATGAATATACCCATGATTTGTTCTTTGTACTGTTGTGCATGTTTGGTTGTGCTTTTATAAATGCCTCCCTGAACGTGCTTGTTTTGTGTGCAGGTGTGGTAAATTTCTGTGGCGTGTATATAGGGAATGTACTTTAGAGTGATGGTGTGTGCTTTGCTCAGCCTTGGGATATACTACCAAAAGTGGCAGTGTGACTGTTTGCTGTCACTCGCAGTGTGAGCAGGCAGCTGTCCACAGGTTGGTCACACTGGGTGTTGTGTGTTCCTGTGGGTCAGCTGTCCTGCAGGTGTCTGGGTGTCTAGCTCACGCTGCCTGGATCTGCTGCTTCCTGGTGAGCAGAGTGTGCAGGGGGCAGGAGCTCTGCAGTGGAGTAAGTTCAGTGCTGTGTTGTCTGAGCTGTGTATTTTGTTTGAAGGAGTTCTTTACGTATCTCAAAACACACACCAGACTGTTTTATACTCTTGTGTTTGCTTTTTCACTCTCAGTAGTATCTTCTGAAAAGCAGAATTTAAGATTTTAACATGCTTTAGTTGATCTTTTTTTTTTTTAGTGATGTTTTAAGAAGTCAGCTAGGCTAGGTTTGTGAAGATACTATCCTGTGTTGTCTTGTAAAAGCTCCACTGTTTTATCTTCTGTCTGAAGTTGATTCTGTTTGTGTTGGGAGACGGGCCAAAATTTTTTTTCACCTCTGGATATCTGGTTGACACAGCTTTGATTCATGAAGAAGACCATCTTTCCCCCAGTGCATCACAGTGCCATCTCTTTCACCTCATCAGGTAACTGTGAACATGTGATCTCTTTCTGAACTCTGCTGCATTGACCTTTTTTGTCCTATTTGCACAAGTACCATCCTGTAAACTACTGTAGATTTACGTGGTCTTGAGAGTTGGTCATTTAAGTTCTCCACCTTTACTCTTCAGGWTTTTCTTAGCTGATCTTGGTCCTTTGCATTTTCAGATATATTTTATAATCTTCTTGGCAATCTCACTGCAAAAAAAAAAAAAGTGCTGGGATTTTAATTGGGAYTGCAGTTAATCAGCAGACCAGTGGGGGAGAAATGACATCTTTTTAAAATATTGATCCTGTAATCCACAGACATATAATAGCTATGTAATTATTTATTATTTTTATAGAGAGAACTGATTCTTTGCATGTGGGAAGCCATTCTAACACGTGATTGGGCGGCTCCCGTTAAGGGCCTGAGGCACTTTGGCTAAGTCAAAGTTTTTCCCGACCCTTTCCTGATGAGAGAGCCCATCCGTGTGGGGGTGTGCCTGACCACTGACTCCGGGGACCCAATCACTGACCCTGACCTTGGAGTGCAACCCCCCCTCAACGACTTCATTGGATGGAATTCTCCCCTGAATCTCTTGTTCCCTAATAAAAGGCTAGTCCCCGGCGTGCTCTCTCTCTCTCTCCTGCTAACCCTGAGTAATCTTTGCTGCCCTGCTGGGCGAGGGAACCAGAGAGGGGAGCCATCTCGGACCTAGCAATAGAAATAAGGTAACTGAGTCTGTGTTTTTATTTCGATCTCTCCTAACTAACTTTATGCCTAGAACCTCATTAATGAAACCACTGCGCAGGCCGCGTGGTAGATTTGCATGTTTAGCAATTTTTTCCCCCCATGTGCTATAACCATTTTTCTTTTTCTTTATTATACTGGCTGAGAAATTTAGTAGTGTTGAAATGGTGAGCATAGTGTCCTTGTCTTCTTCCCAATAATCAGGGAAAGCTTTTACTATGTCACCTGTAAGCGTGATCATTATTGTAGGGTTTTTGTAGATATTCTCTATCAAAATATAAAAATTCTTCTTTATTCTTATTTTGCTAAGAGTTTTTTATTAATTATGAGTGGTTATTGAATTTTTTACATTTGTTTTTCTGCATCTTTTCAAACAATTGTGCTTTTTCTGTTATTTGATGATACAACTTTTTAAAAATTTTTGCAGTGCTGGAGATTGAACCCAGGGCCTTTTATTTGGCAGGCAAGTGCGTTGCCACTGACTCCCAACCCAGTTTGACGTTTTAAATGTGCAATTCTAGAACGATTCCAACATGATCTCTAGCTTGTTTCTGTTTSTGTTTTTGTTTTTGCTTTGCAATACTGAGGATTGAACCTAGGGACACTCTACCACTAAGCTATATCCTTAGCCCTTTTTAWTATTTGTTTTTTGATACTAGAGATTATACCCAGAGGTGCCTTACCATTGAGCTACATCCTTAGCCCTTTTTATTTTTTATTTTGAGACAGGGTCTTGCTTAGTTGCCCAGGCTGGCCTTGAATTTTCAGTCCTCCTGCAGCCTCTTGGGTAGCTGGGGTTACAGGCACACGCCACTGTGCCCAGCTTGTAGTCTTCTTTGCTGGGTTTGTTTGGTGAGAACTTATATAGGATTACTGCCTCTATACTCATGAAAGAGACTGACTGATGATTGTGCTTCCTATATAGTCCTTGTTTTGTATCAAGCTTATGCTGGTCTCATGAAAAAAAGGTGGAACATTTCTTGAAAGACTTCCTGTGAA